CCGCGGGTGGTAACTTGCTTTCTGTCTCTGTCTTTCGGGCGAGTGCACGCACCCTATAGCAAAAACCTCTCAAAAAAATAAAAATAAAAATAAAATGTTTTAGCCTAACTAGTGTAATAGAATTCATGAATTTCCTATTATTATGAGAAGATATAGCTTTGGTGAGCCTCGAACATGTTCTCTATAGTTGAACCTGTGTAAATCTAGCCATCTCTGCTTGTTTATTAACTCCTTGAGGGATGAGGTCATGCAGTAGACTGCTCTGTATACTGCACAGTACCTCGCATGCTGCACGCCATAAGGCTGTTAACAAGTGTCTAATGACTTTGCTGATTTTCAAAGTAGGTTTTTCTGGGGCCATCAGATGGCATAGCAGTTATGTCGCTGGACTCCCACATGACTGACTATGGTTCGAATCTCAGACCCAGTGGCTTGAAAATCATGGCGGGTGTGTGTGCATGTGTGTCCAAGATCCCATGTGTCCAAAATCTCAGGAAGATAATGGAGAAGGCATTGCTGTGTGACCATCCCCCCAGGGGATGATTTCTCACTTTCCCTCTCACTGTCTCTGATCTCTCTCTCCAGTGAGTGAACATGCCTTAAGGCAAAAAGCTCTTTAAAAAAAAATAGGTGTTTTTATATAATAAAAATACTGCTACCCTGTAACCATTTCTCCCTTTGTAATATATGTGCTGGCTAATTTTCTTCAGATTCATGAACCAATATGATGTTAATCACTATCACATGAACATGGAATATTTTAGTCTGGTTTCTAATTATTATTATAATTGGTGAAACAAAAGACATTATTTTTAAGCTTGGAATTACATCTATTTCACAAAATTGATTTTTATAGAGGTTTTCTATGGCAAACCATATAAACAATTAAAAATATTAAGATGTATTTATTAATTTGTTCTTTATTTTTGCAATCAGAGTTTAGATGGGATCAGGTATGCAAGCACATGATAGCAGACTGTCGTTCATCCTCTTCCATCCATTTCAGATCATTGCTAATCAATCAAAGCACTGTTCCCGGGACCAGCAGATGACATAATAGTTATGTAATTGGACTCCCATGTATTCAACTACTGTTTGAGTCCTGGAACCAGCGGCTTCAAACTCAAACCAGGCGCATGTGCGTGTGTTCACAAAATCCCTAGATGAGAATAGAGGAGAAGGGATTAGGGCGTGGACATCCCCCCTGGGGGATGATTTCTCACTTTCTGTCTCTCTCTGTCTCTCCAGCGAGCACATGCGCCCCATCGCAAAAATCTCTCCTAAAACAAACAAACAAACAAGCACTCTTTCCTTCTGAACCCAGATAAAGACACAGAATCTTTCCCAACAAAGTTTGTTAAAACACTACCTGTTGATGAAAATTTAGGTAGAATTTGTAGCCTATTTGTCATCACTGGTCCACTAGATTTGTAAGGATCTTTCATTCATGAGTCTATGGACTAAAGGTAAAGCCACAGTTTCTGATTTCTTTTCAGTTTTTTCTTTTCTTTTCTTTTCTTTTTTACGATAGAGAGTATGTGCACACAAAAGAGAGAGAAGCACTGTTAATAGGCCTTGTCACACCTTGATCTCCTTTCCCCAGTTCTCCAGCTCCTCAGGGTCTTGGACTGTGGGCACCTGTATCTGGCATGTGTTCAGGATGACCTGGGGATTGGAACCCATGGTTGGCCATGTGCCTTTCAGGACTGCAATCCACTACAGACTGTGCCACCAAGACTGGGTCATGATTAATTTTAAGTTGTTGTTGTTATTTATAAATCTTCACTTTCTCCTAAGAAGCAACATGGCCCGGCTTTCTGGTTGAATATCTGTGTTACCGATTAACATATGTACTGACTCAGCCACTGCTTTCGCTATTCGTGAACATCGTTTGTGTGCATGATATTAGTGATCGTGGTTTTATTAAACCCATTTTGAAGATAAAGAAAACCAAGGCCCCAAGTGTCTATGTAACTGGACCAAAATCACTTTACTATTAATAGTTAGGCAGCAGGGCTAGTTCTAAAACCAGGTGTGTGAATTGCTGAGTGGAAGCGCCATACCTTATGCTGCATTGCTTTATAACACTAATGATTCTGTGTGTGTGTGTGTGTGTGTGTGTGTGTGTGTGTTTTCCCCTTTAGGCTGAAGATGAAAGTCAGCTTTCATTCCATGGCGTGGCTTATGTTAATATGGTCCCATTGCTGTATCCAGGTGTGAAGAGGATTCGGGGAGCTTTTCATGTTTATCCTTACCTAGACAGTACAGTCTATGAGAAGGTAACAATTATAAATGTATAAGTAGTAATACAATGATATTATAAAACTCCAAGTGAAAAACAACACAATTGAAAGAAGGAACAGACAATTTGACAATAATATTTAGATATTTCAATATTTTAATGTCAGTATTTGACAAGTATATAGAAATTCTGTGTTAGAAGAAGAAGGAAGAAGAAGAAGGAGCCAGCAGGTGGCATGGTTAAGGGCACTGGACTCCCACATGACCAACCGCGGTTCAAATTCTGGACCTGGAAAATGATTCTTTTAAAAAAAATGAAGAAGGAAAAAGAAGGAGGAGGAGGAAGGAGAAGAAAAAGAAAGAAACAGAAGGAAGAAGAAAGAAAGAAGAAATAATAATAAGAAGGGTGAGCAGGTGGTGTGGTGGTTAAGACTCTGGATTCCCACATAGCCAACCATGGTTTGAGTCCTGAACCTGACAGCTTGCTTTCTCACTTACTATCTCTTCTTCTTTCTCTCTCTGCTGAGCACACATGCCATATAACGGAATTTAAAACATAATAATAAATAAAAATAAATGAATGGTTCTTTTTTTTTTTTTGGAGAGGATTTCACTATAGGGCGAGTGCACTCACCAGACAGACAGAGAGAGACAAAGAGACAGAAAGTGAGAAATAACCCCCCCAGGGAGGATGGTCACTCTGCAATCCCTTCTCCTTCATTCTCCTCTCGGGATCTTGGGCACGCACGCACACGTGCCTGGCGTGAGTTTTAAGCCACTGGGTCTGGGATGCGAACCGCGGTCGACTACGTGGGAGTCCAGCGACATAGCCATTGCACTAACTGCTGGTTCCCAAAAATAAATGAACGATTCTTAAAAAAAAATTCTGTGTTAAATATAAGCTCACCGTATAACCCAGCGTATCATTCCTAAGAAATTACCTAAGAGAAATGAAAACCTGCATCCACACAAAGATAGGTGTATGAATGTTCATAGCAGCGTTATTTGTAATAACCAAAAATATAATAATCCAGATGTCTGCAACTGGTGAATGGATAAACAAAATGCCATGTAGGACCAATAGATGGCATAATGTTTACATCGCTGGACTCCTACATGGCTGACCTTGGTTCAAGTCCCAGACCTGGCAGCTTGACAGTCATGCTGCGTATGTTGTGTGTATGCCCAAAATCCCAAGAAGAGAATGGAGGGGGAGGGATTGGGCATGACTACCCCCCTTGGTGGTGATTTCTTGCTTTCTATCTCTCTTTGTCTCTCCCAGAAGCACACACACCCTGTAACCAAACCCTCTCTCTCGAAAAAAAAGTCATGCAGCTATAAAGGGAATAATATTTAGCAATGAAAAAGAATAAGCAACAGTAATATCCCAAACTATTGAATTGTGTTCTTTAAATGAATGAATGATATTAAATATGAATTATCTCTCCCTCTTTTTTTTTTTTTTCTTGAGAGGTTTTTGCCGTAGGGCACATACACTTGCCAGAAAGACAGAAAGAGACAGAAAGCGAGAAATCACCCCCCGGTAGTATGGCCATGCCACAATCCCTTCTCCTCCATTCTCCTCTCAGGATCTTGGCACGCACCACATGTGCCCGGCATGAGTTTAAGCCACTGGGTCTGAGACTCAAATCGTGGTCGACTACATGGGAGTCTAGCAACATAGCCATTATGCCAACTGCTGGTCCCAATATGAATTATATCTCAATAAAACTTTTTGATGGGCTGGCACTAGGAACTGAATCCCACATAGCTGACCACAGTTCAAATCCTAGCCCCAGTGACTTGAAAAGCACACCAAGTGTATGTGAGTACATGCCCCAAATCCTCATAGGCTGGAAAAATGTAGAAGAGATTGCAATGTGACCATGCCTTAGTGGGGAGTGCTTTCTCCCTTTCTGTTGCTCTCTGTCTCTTCATCTCTCTCTGGCAAGTGCATACACCCTCTGGCAATTAAAAAATATATATATGAACCATTGGTACATGTTATAACATGGATGAACCTCAAAGCACTATGCTAAGTTAAAGAAGCCATAGACAAAAGATTGCATATTTTTATACTAACTTACATGAAATAATCTCATTGTACAATATATCCCAGAGATATTAAAACTTGAAAAAGTTCGGATCTTTGTTTTCGTGATTTTTTTTTTTTTTGACACTTGCACATCCATGTTTATTGCAACATCGTTCACAATTTCTAAGACATAGAACCAACCTAAGTGTCTAAAAACTGATGACTGGGTTGAAAACCTGTGGCACATATATACCATGGAATATTACACAGTTATAAGTAACAATCAGATCCTGCCATTTGACTCAAAATGGATGACTATAGTGGGGCCACCAGGTGGCTTGGTGGTTAAGGCACTGGAATTCCCAAGTGGTTGACTGCAGTTTGAGTCCTGGACCTGGTGGCTTGCTCTCTCTCTCTCTTTCTCTCTCTCTGTCTTTCTCTGGCAAAATTTATGTGAAATAATAATAATAATAATAAATTAATTAAATAATTCTTTAAAAATGGATGAATATAGAAGATTTAATGTTTTAAAAAATTATTTATTTTATTCATTAATTTTATTTTAATTTGATCAGAGAGAGACACAGAGAGAGAAAGAGGGAAAGTGAGAAAGCAAGTCACCAGATCCAGGACTCAAACCGTAGTCGGCCATATGGGAGTATCCAGAGCCTTAACCACCACACCACCGGCTATACCCAAAGATTTAATGTTGAGCGAAGTGAGCCAGACTTTGTTTTGTTTTGTTTTTGTTTTAGAATTATTTAGTTTTATTTGTTGTTATTATTCAATTTGACCTGAGAGAGACACAGAGAGATAGAAAGATAGAGATAGTTTGAAAGCAAACTGTCAGGTCCAGGGTTCAAATGCTGGTCAGCCATGTGGGAGTCCAGTGCCCCAACCAACATGCCAGCCCCACGTGAGTCAGACTTTTTCTTTTTTTGGTAAAACCAGGCCACTTTAATGTTTTTGTACAGTTCAATAAAGAATCTTTTGATGACTGCAGATATGTAAGACCGGCTATATTCGGAAACATCAGTCATGATGGTTTTCCAGATGGTGTATCACCTTCAAAATTACAAGGAGTTACTTGTATGCAACTGCTATCAAACCAGTAAGACAGCATTTATGCATCCATCATTTTCAGGATTGTAACTTGAGCATATTTCACCCAAATAACCTTGTTGTGTCACACGGCCCAACTCGCTCACGTTCACCTCAATGACAGTACCTTTGGTGATAACACCTAAAGTTGTATATAGCGGGGATGAAGGATTTTTCTTTACACCATGTATTGCCAGACAAAAGGTGGCTTTCAGTTCAGGATGTGTTACGTGGGCCTTCTTGAAACGTAAGCCCATTAGCCTAATGAATCATTCATATTTAGGTGGTTCTCTAGTAAAGCCATCTCCAACAAAGCAGACTTTGTAACCATCCTTTTCCATACCTTTTTCTTTCTCTTTCCTGTTCAAATAACTTTTAATACTTCTGTTTCTCCCTGGGCTTGAACTTTTTGGGTAGAGGGACTTCCCATTTTCCTGCTCTCTCTTTCCGTTTTTGTTTAATCATATTGGAAAGTACTTTAGCTCGGGGCTGTCCTTCTCTGTCTAACAGATAGGTTGGTACTGCTCCTTGAGGAGTCTTTTCATCATTCTTTTATTTGGTGCTCCTCTTTTCATGCATCTTGATAGTCTTTTTCATTTATATTTTCTGAGCATGGCGCTGTTTATCATAGAGCTTAGCCTTCAGACCAGTCATCTTTTTTGCCTTTTTTTGAACATTCATGAGTCTCCCGACTTTCCTTCTTTCTCTTTTTCTCATGATAATCCAAACACTATCCATAGCGTTTACGTAATTTAGTATATTCGTTTTGTGTCATGGTGACAGCTGCAGAGTCCCCGGGAACAGCCACCCAGATGCAAAGAAGTTGTCAACTTTCAGGTCTTTGAGACCAACCTGAGCCAGACTTTTAAAGATACACATTGTAGGGACCAGCAGTTAGCATAATGGCTATGCCGCTGGCCTCCCACATAGTCAGCCGCGGTTCGCGTCCCAGACCCGGTGGCTTAAAACTCATGCCGGGCGCGTGTGCGTGCGTGCCCAAGATCCCGAGAGGAGAATGGAGGAGAAGGTATTGTGGTGTGGCCATCCCCCCTGGGGGGTGATTTCTTGCTTTCTGTCTCTCTGTCTCTCTCTGTCTGGCTGGCGAGCGCACGCACCCTATAGCAAAGAACTTCTGCAAAAAAAGAAAAAAGATACACATTGTATATTCTCACTCAATTTGTACTGAGGGTCTGAAAAAAATTATCTGATAGAGTTTTTATTTATTTATGTTTTTGGAGATGTTTTTGCTATAGGGCGCGTATGCTCGCCAGAAAGACAGAGAGAGACAGAAAGTGAGAAATCACCACCTAGGGGGGGTGGCCACACCACAATCCCTTCTCCTCCATTCTCCTCTCAGAATCTTGGGCATGACTGCACATGCGCCCTGCGTGAGTTTAGGCTACCGGATCTGGGACTTGAACCACTGTTGAGTACATGGAAGTTCAGTGACATAGCCATGACACTAACTTCTGGTCCCAAAGCTTTCTAATGATAAGAATTACGAGATACCAGAATCAAACCAGATTGTGAGGCCTTCTATTAAGACTTTAAATACTAGAGTAGGTAGCTCTCTCTGGTGGTTTTACCTGTTCTAGAAGTAGGGAAATACGATGAAGTATTTCAGGTTCCTTCTCACATTCTGATTCTATAATGTTGAATTATCTGAAAGACTAAAATGATGTTAAAAAATAATGCAGCAGGTGACATGGTGGTTAAGACACTGTACTCCCCATATGGTTGACCACAGTTTGAGCCTCTGACCTGGCAGCTTGAGAATCACACTGGACACATTTGCATGAGGGCCCAAAATCCTGAGAGGAGACTGGCGGAGAAGGGACTGTGGGGTGGCTCTCCCTCCTGGAGGGTGATTTCTCACTTTCCTTCTCTATGTCTCTGTGGGGAGTACACATGCCCTATGACAAAAACCTTAAATAATAATAATAATTTTAATAATTATAATGTGGCTTTCTTTCATTTGCCTGTGATTCATTGCATTTTTTTGGCTTCTTTTTAGACCAAGTGTTTATTCAGCTTGTTCCGGGATACTGGCCATCATTTAATTCATAATAATAAAATAGGAGGAATTAATTCTCCACTGTCCAAATCAGGTGTTTCTAAGAACCTTAAAGAAGATAAAACAGTGAGAGAAAAGGATATTGATGGAAGGCTTAAGCCTGGGGATGTGGTAGGTTGTTAAGAAGGTGATCGTTTTGCTTGTTTTTATTACATTCCGGAGGCTTGCACTTATCTCCTTTGATGAATTGTATCAATATCGTTTACATTTTGATGCAGTGTAATGGTCATTGTTGCTGCCATTGTGAAGGCCGTCTAAAAACTCAGTTTTGAGATGTGTTCCTTTTCTCCCGGCAGGCTCCTAGTATAAAATCTCAGAGTTCAGACACTCCCTTGGATGGTGAACCTCCTCTAACACACAATCCAGAAGGACAGGTAACAATGCATAAAGTTTTGGAAAGTTAGGTTTAAATCCATCAGCCGTTTACTCAGCAAGGCAGCTATAGTGATCAAAGCTCAAGGTAGGATGTCTGAGTTGTCATCCATTTTACCCATGATTATGACTTTGGGCAAATTTGTCTCTTTTTTTGGTCAGAGGGCAAATGTGCTTGACAGAGACAGAGAGAGGAAGAAAGTACCCTCAATGGGGCATGGTCACCCCACAATACCTTCTCTTCTCTTTCTGTGTCCTGTTGGGATTTGGGACACACATGTACATATGCCTGGCATGTTTTTCAAGCCTCTGAACTGTGCTGTTGGCCATGTGGGATCCAGCTCCCTTAAATATCAGGCCAGGGGGGCTGGCCCAAATTTCTGTGTCTTGTTGAGATTCTGAAATCAGCTCTTACCAGATTAACTTTTTTTTTTTAGAGGTTTTTGCTATAGGGCGCGTACACTCACCAGAAAGACAGAGAGACAGAAAGCGAGAAATCACCCCCCAGCGGGGATGGCCACTCCGCAATCCCTTCTCCTCCATTCTCCTCTCAGGATCTTGGGCACGCATACACATGCACCTGGCATGAGTTTAAGCCACCAGGTCCAGGACTTGAACCTTGGTCGACTACATGGGAGTTCAGTGACATAGCCATTACGCTAACTGCTGGTCCCGCCAGAGTAACTTTTAAGGTCCTTCCCAGCATTAACATTTTGTCTGTTATTAGTTAAGTACTATGAAAGACAAAAAGATGCATCATCTGCAGTGTTCATTCATCCGCCCTCAGGATACTTAGCCCTCTGGTGGTAGAAACAGGCTGATAAGTAACTGAGTGCAATGTATCATTTTGATAAGTTCTGTAATACAGACAAAAGTTCTGTGTGGGCTTAAGGGAGACAGATAAACATCTATTACAATGGGGCAGTTTCAGGGAAGTTTTCATGGAAGAGCTGCTATCTAAACTAAGCAGTGAAGGATGAAGAGAACTCTTTGCTAGATGAAGTTGGAGAGAAAGACATTTCAGGGCCAGGGAACAAACAGCTAGAGTCACGCAAGGCACAGAGAGAATCTAGAAGAGCAGTATTTAAGATACACCAGTCAGTTCAATGTATGGTGTAGAGAAAGGAAATAGGAAACAGGCCACAGAAGAACCTGGAAGGCTTGCTGAAAGTTTGGACTTCGGGCCAGCAGGTGGCATGGTGATTAGGGCTCAGACTCCCACATGGCCAACATGGTTCAAGTCTTGGACCTGACGACTTGCTTTCTCACTTTCCTTCTCTCTCTTCCTCTCTGCCTGTCTCTGGTGAGCATAGGTGCCCTATTACAAATTGTAATAATAATCATAATAAATAAAATTAAATAAATCTTTTATAAAAAGAAAGTTTGTGCTTTATTAATAGGTGATGAGGGTCTCTTCAGACCCTCTTAGAGTCTTACATCAAGGTTTTATTTTTTTAATATTGGGTTTTTTGTTTATTTATTTTTATTTATTTATTTTAATTTGACTGGAGAGGAACAGAGTGCAAGAGAGAGAGGGAAAGTGAGAAAGCAAGTCTCTAGGTCCGGGGCTTGAACCATAGTCACCCATGTGGGAGTCCAGCGCCCTCAACCACCATATCACCTGCCAGCCCAACATCAAAGGTTTTTAAAAGTCACATCTTAATAGAAACAAGACCTCATGTGTGTTTCAGGACAGAATTCTTTCAGGGAGTCAAGAGAGTGAAGGTAGGGTAGGACTACAGGTTTTTATTGTAGTACGGATGAGTGTTGACAGTTTTATTTAGGGCGAGGTTGTATGTAATAAAGTCAGAAAATTGTAGAGGCAAGATAATTAGGGAAGCTTTCGCGATGTTGAAGAAAAAAAGTTACAGATAACTCAGGTTTCATGTCTCACTTTGTGGAATGATGAGAATGCCACACGAGAAAAGTCAAGAGAGGCTGGTATGAGGGAAATGACACTTTCAGTTTTGGGTGGGTTGTACGAGGATGCAGGCAGAAATCTGAGTAGCAGTGTCCAGCAGCTGGACTGGTAGACTGTGGTGAGGAAGCTGTGAGTGGGAATGTAAGAATGTGATGAAGAGGGGCCAGCAGGTGGCATAGTGGTTAAGGAGCTAGACTCCCACCTGGTCAGCCATGGTTTGAGTGACAGACCCAGTGGCTTGAAATTCACACTGGTCATGTGTGCCTGCATACCCGAAATCCCAGGAGGAGAGTGGAGCAGGGACTGTGGCATGTCCCGCCACCAGGGGTATTTCTCACTTTTGTCTCTCCGTCTCTCTCTGTCTCTGGTGAGTACATGTGCCCTATAGCAAAAATCTCTCTCAAAAGAAAAAAAAAATATATATATATATATCTGCAGGACGCATGAGAGAGGGATTCTGGAAGAAAGGATGGCATTCACTTAAAACAGTTCAAGGAAAGTATTATGAGAAGGTTAAACAGCTGAGGGAGCTGTTACCAAGAATGAAGTTGTAACTCCTCTCCTCCAAGAGATGACCACTGTTGCTTTGTTTTTTGAAGTTTTTTTTATATGTAAAAAAATGTTTTAGAATTAGTCCTATAGCACAGAGGTTAAGGACTCTGGACCCTACGTGACTGACTGTGGCTCAAATCCTAGCTTGGGAGGCTCGAGAAACATGCTGAGTACATGTGCATGTGTGTCCCAAATCCTGATGGAATGGAGAAATGGAAGAAAAAGGATCGTGGTGTGACCATACCTCACCGGGGGATGCTTTTTCCCTTTTCTCTTTCTCTCTCTCTCTGGCAGGGACCCACTGACAAAATTTTTTTAAAAGATGGAAATTATAATTGTAGCAGTTGAGATCATACTTTATTTATGTGTGTGTGTGTGTGTGTGTGTGTTGGGTCATCAGAAAAGTCATGATGTATTTTTCCATGTTTTTCTATGCAAACATGTGTCATGATTTTTCCAACGGCCATATGTGTGTGTGTGTACACACACACACACACACACACACACACACATATATATATATATATAGAGAGAGAGAGAGAGAGTTAAATAGTTATGTGTTGATTATATAGTTTTCTCACTTAAATTGTGAGCATTCTCACTTAAATTGTGAGCATTATATTACTAAATTTTTTTCATAAATATCTTTTTTTCTGGAAATATTAAATGGGACAAAATGTCGTTCCAGCAATACGTAGAAGCAGGGACATATATTGTGTTGGAGATTCAGCTGGATAAAGCCTTGGTTCCAAAGCGAATGCCAGACGAGCTGGCCAAAAGGTATGCAGTGTGGTTCTCATACTTGTTTTGTACAAAAATTTAGTTATAAGTAAGAGGAAATCAGTTTCTTCCCATAAATGCACTTTTCCCTGGGCTAAGTAGTAAGTTTCTATTTTTTTTTCTTCCAGATGAAGCTTCTTTTATTATTGTTCTTTCCTTAGGAAAATATATGGTATACTTACTACAGTATATTTCAGAAAACTGAGATGAGCAAGAAAATATTTAGAGGGCTAGCACATGGCATAGAGGTTAATACAGCTGAATCCCACCTGGCCAACTATGCGGTTTGATTCCCAGATCCAGCCTCTTGAAAAACACACTGAGTGTGTGTGTACATGCCCCAAATCCTGAGAATGGAAGAGAAGGGATTATGGTGTGGCTATCCTCCCAGGGGATGCTTTCTTACTTTCTCCCTTTCCCTGTCTCTGTTGTATCCGGCAAGCACACACGTCATATAGCAAAACTTAAAAAGAAAAAAGGAAGTATATAGAAACAACCAGATTGCTACTCACCACTTTTACAGTGATAACTACTTTTATTTTATTTTATTTCTTAATTTCCAGAGGGCACATGCAATCACTGGAGAGAGAGAGAGAGAAAACTTCTCATGGGGAATGGTCACACCACTATCCCTTCTCCTCCATCTCTCCCTCTTTTGGAATTTTGGACACACATGCATATGCATCTAGGATGCTTTTCAAGCCATTGAGACTGGGACTTGAACTGCACAGTAAGCCATGTGGTATCCAGCCATCTTAACAACCATGCCATTGGATGGCCCAATAACCACATTCTTTAAAAGAATTATTTTATTTAACTTTATTTATTTATTCATTTTAATTTGACCAGAGAAGGACAGAGTGTGTGTGTGAGAGAGAGAGAGAAAGACACCAGGTCTGGGGCTCAAACCACGGTTGACCATGTGGGAGTCCAGTGCTCTTAACCACCATGCCACTTGCCAGCCCCCAATAACCATTTTTAATACCTTGGTGTCTGTACTTCTGGACTTTTCAGTTGTTGTTGTTACAGGGCACATGTGCTCTTCAGACAGAGACATGTGCCAGGTGTGAGACTCAAACTGGTCAGCCATGAGTCTGGTGCCTTAACCACTATGCCACCTGCTAACCCCTATATTGCACAAACATGCACACGTGCACATACGTCACATGTACACATATGTAACGTAAAGAACTATTTTTATTGGGTCATCAGGTTGCACGGTGGTTAGGGCACTGGACCCCCACGTGGCTGACTGCAGTTTGGGTCCCAGACCCAGCAGCTTGAGAACTATGCAGGGCACATGCACGTGTATGCTAAAATCCCAGAAGGAAAATGGAGAAGAGATTGCGGAGTGGCCATCCCCTGCGAGGGGTGAGTTCTCATTTTCCCTCTCACTGTCTCTCTGGAGAGTGCATGTGCCCTATGGCAAAACCTTTTTTTAAAAAAAAAGATATTTTTATTGTACCTTTCTTGTACTATAGGTCTTTGCTTGTGTGTAACTAGAAATTTTTGCATTTCATCTAGGTTATCCGATTTGTTGGCATACAATTGCTGATAGTGTTCTCTTATAATTCTTTTTGTTTCTGTAAAATTGGTCGCAATGTCCTCACTTTTATTTCTGATGTTAGTAATTTGAGTCTTTCTTTTTTTCTTTGTTTGGTTAAAAGGTTTGTCAGGAAAAAAAAAAAAGACTTGTCAGTTTTGTTGATTTCTTGGAGGACCAACTTCATTTTGTTGATTTTCTCTATTGTTTTTCTATTCTCTATTTTATTTGTCTTCACTTTAATTTTTTTTCTAATTTGCCAGAGTGCATACACACTTACTAGAGAAAGACATGAGAGAGAGAGAAGAAAGAAAAAAGCACAGTGGTTAAGGGAGTTAGATTTTTTGGGGGGCGGGGAGAGGTTTTTGCTATAGGGCGCGTGCGCTCACCAGAGAGACAGAGAGAGACAGAGAGATAGAAAGCAAGAAATCACCCCCCGGGGGGATGGTCACGCTGCAATCCCTTCTCCTCCATTCTCCTCTCGGGATCTTGGGCACGCATGCACACGCGCCCAGCGTGAGTTTAAGCCACCGGGTCCGGGACTCGAACCACGGTCGACTACATGGGAGTCCAGAGATATAGCCTTTACACTAACTGCTGGTCCGAAGGGAGTTAGATTTTTTAAGGAAAAAAACAATGTAGTCACTCTTCATTTCCTACCAACCACTATGCCAACACCCCTGTTGTTGAACCAAGTGTTTATTCTTTTTTTATTATTTTTATGCCTGAGCATGCATGGAGGCAGCACAGAGAGGAGACAGAGACAGAGAGAGAGAGAGAGAGAGAGAGAGAGAGGGAGAGAGAGAGAAAGCACCCCCAAATGGATCCTAGTCATGCCACAGTCCTCTATTTCTCCAGTTCTCCACCGCATCAGGATCGTGGGTGTTTGCATATGTGCATGCCCGGGATGGGGCTGACAGGTTGTGTGGGTTCTGGCTTCTGTGCATTGCTTAAGAGCTGTTACTGTGGGGCTGGCTCGTGGTTTATTTGTTTTCGTTTTCACCATATGGTGCGTGTACTTGCTGGAGAGAGACAGAAAGAAAGGAAAAATGAGAAATCACCTCCCTAGGGGTGTGGCCACGCCACAGTGCCTTGTCCTCCATTCTCCTTTGAAGATTTTGGGCATACGTGCACCGGCACCTGGCATATTTTCCAAGCTGCGGGGTCTGGAACTTGAACTGCACACTCAGCCATGTGGGATCCAGCTGCCTTGACCATCACGCTACCTAGCTGGCCTTGGCCCATGTTTTTAATACAGCATTCTAAAATGATTGCATTAAATCAGAGGTCAATTCTTTTAACTCCTTTGCTTAGAATACCAGTGATTCCTCATCAAACTGAGTATCAAAGCCCTTACAATGACAGACATATTCTGCGTATAGTTTGCCCTTGCTTTTTCATGGCAGCCAAACTGGTATCCCTGCTGTTCCTCACACGTGCCAGGCACATACTTGCAGAGTTCCCTTGTCTGAAATGTCCTTATCCCAAGTGTCTACATGATTTGCTTTCTCATGTCCCTCAGGTCTTCACTCATATATTGTCATCGTGAGGTCTTCCCCGATTAAATAGGCTCCTAGACTCTACCAACCTCAGTCCCGAGATAGTCTATCTGCCTTCCTACATTATTTTTCTCCATGGCATGTATTAATTGAATATTTATCTTAGGTATTTGTCTTATTTATTACCTTTCTTTACCTACTGGAATGTAGGCTCCATGAGGGTAAGAATTTTTGTCTATTTTCTTTAATACTCTATCCTCAGGCCTAGAGAAGTACCTAGTGGACAATAAGCACTTGGTATGTGTGTGTATATATACATATTTATATTTAGTATATTTATATTTCACTTACACATATATGATATTGATGGGGTTGTCATAAAAGTCATGATGTATTTTTCTGTTTTTTTTTAATTCAAAAATGTATTGTGACTTTTCTGATGACCCAATATGTTTCGTGTATGTATATGTATGTATATATATACTTCTGTTTTGTTTTGTTTTCTACAAGGCATGTGTACTCAAGGAGAGAAACACAGAGAGAGAAAGGGAAAGGAAGAAAGCACCCCCCTAGGGGGAATGGCCACACTGCTTTCCTTCTTCATTATCCTCTTGGAATTTTGCTCGTGCATACACACGTGCCTGTCATGTTTTTCAAGCTGCTAGGTCAGGACTCGAACTACAGAATTGGCCATGTGGGATCTAGCCACTTTATACTTTTAAATGTTGGAATCATCTGGATATATTACATATTAAAACAAATAAAATTGGGCCAGTCCCATAACCTAGTGACTAAGTGACTAAGGGAGCCAGATCCCTTATGGCTGACTGTGGTTTGTATCCTGGTCCGGGTGGTTTAAAAAACATGCCAGGTGTGTGTGCATGCATTTCCAAAATCCTGACAGGATGGAGAAGTGGAGGAGAAGGAATTGTGGGGTAACCGTAATGAGAGCGGGGGTGCTTTCTCTCTCTCTCTCTCTCTGTCTCCCTTTCTCTTGTGGATACACATGTCTTCTGACAATTAATGAATAAATTAATGAGTGAATGGAATTAAAATGAGTAATTCTGAACAGAGGTATATAATTACTTAGGACCTATTAAGGAAAAACCGAATTTGTGCGTTTGATTGTGGCCTTCAAGGCAGTACATACTTTATCAGGAATCTGAAAGTGTGAGGACAAAGAATTCTAATTCCTTCTAGGTTTGTGTAAGGTTTTTTGTAATGCAAGGTGGAAATTTTGGTATAAGTAGTTTGACTGACAAAATGTGTTTTCTTACTTGCCCTAAAGTCTGATGGCACTGCTGTAATTTAATGTAATCCTATAAATTATAACCAAGAGAGCCTTTTAATCTTACATAGGGAGGAAAGAAAACTTTTCACTTGCCTGTACCACCCAGGTTTCCAAATCTTTGTGCTTTCAGATGCCCTATTGAACGTCCCTAAAGCATGACACCCGTTTCTTTCCAACCCCCTGGTCAAGCAGCCACTTGTGCACAACAGCAGTTTTTGGAAATGCATAAGGGTAAAGCCAGGGTTCAAATCAGCCAAAAGTACCACCTAGATATTCTGAGCGACTGCCTCCTGGCTCCCTTCCTGCATGAAGGGAGCACATAGCCATGCTCTGCGCTGTGGGGTTCACTCCTAAGGTTTTGCATGAGAGGACATCAGTGTTCGTGTGTGATCAGTAACAGACCTTCCCCATGCACATTCTCTGGAGTGGGATATAAAAGAACGTAAACCTGCAGATAATAGTGGGTTTTGTTTTTTGTTTCTTCTGATTCAGGGTTAAGGAAATGATTCCTCCAAGGCCTCCCCTTACCCGTCGGACAGGAGGAGCTCAGAAGGCAAGTGGGAAAGCCAAGATGAAACTATAAATAATAGGTGTTGAATGCATGCACTTGAAAATGGCAATGTATTTTCAATATATCTTCCAGAAGGAGTGAAAACTTATTTGAAGCTTCACATATTTTCATTTCTGTTTCCATTTGCAACCAGTGGCATACAGTGAAAAGCACAATGTTTAATCTTTGGCAGGTGGTCTCTGATTTGGGAAGAAAAGAGCAGTTTATATCTAATATATTATTTATTTATTTATTTATTCATTCATTCATTCATTCATTCATTCATCCATTCCTTTAATTTGACCAGAGAGAGACACATGGAGAGAGAGCAAAGTGAGAAAGCAAGCCACCAGGTCCAGGACTTGAACCATGGTTGGCCATGTGGGAGTGTCCAGCGCCTTAACCACCACGCCACCTGCTGGTCCCTATTTAATATATTATTGAACATAAAAAAACCAACCCAGTCTTAGATTTCCAACTGTAGTCTTGACCTCATTATTTCCCTCCTCCCCCGAGAGATTTTTGCTATAGAATGCATATGCACTCACTGGAGAGACAGAGACAGAAGGCAAGAAATCACCCCCTGGAGGGATGGCCATGCCACAATCCCTCTCCTCCATTCTCCTATCAGAATTTTGAGCACACACACACGTACTCGGCGTGAGTTTTAAGCCGCTGGGTCCAGGATTCGAACTGCAGTTGACTATGTGGGAGTCCAGCAACATACCCATTACGCCATCTGCTGGTCCCTAGTCTTGACTGCTTTAAGGCCTCTTTACCAGAGGTTTTATATTTTCCTAGGCTGTGAGTGACTACCACATGCAGATCAAGAACATTTCTAGAGCCATTCTAGATGAGTACCACAGAATGTTTGGAAAGCAAATGGCCAAACTGGGGAGTGAGGTGGATAGTGAAACCCTCGAGGAGCAGAAGTGCCAGCTCAGCTATGAACTGAACTGCTCTGGAAAATACTTTGCTTTCAAAGAACAACTCAAGGTAAAACTTTCATCTACTTAATTATTCACTTTTTTTTTCAAAAATGGAACTCCTTCTCTACATGTCAAGTTAATGTTTCTTTCTCTGATTGTGTTTAGCTGTTCTCCTGCTTTGCTTGCTAGTGATGCAAAGAACTAAGTTCTCTATGATAGAATGTAGGAGAAGCTCCACTCCTACAGATTCTTGGAATCATTTAGTATCTGTTCCGAGCTTTTAAGACACTAACTGGCCTGGGACCAGCAGATGGCACAATGGCTATGTCGTTGGACTCCACATAGTTGACTGTGGTTTGAGTACTGGACCTGGTGGCTTAAACTCATGCCAGGCACATGTGCGTGCATGCCTAAGATCCCAAGAGGAGAATGGAGAAGGGATTGTGGTGTGGCCCTCCCCCCTGGGGGGTGATTTCTTGCTTTCTGTCTCTCTCTCTTTCTCTGTCTTTCTGGTAAGCACACGTGCCCTATGACAAAAACCTCTCCAATAAATAAGTAAATAAATAGAGAAAAAGACAATAGCTGGTCACTTGAAGCTAAACCAGATTTCGGACCAGATTTCGTGTTGCTCTATGAAGCAACTCGAGATACAGGAGAAACTCTATCTGGTACTGACTCTAACAAATGATCTGTCTCCCAATCTTTCAACTTCTCTTTCTCTAGGCCATGAATCCCTGGGGCTTGAGAAATATTTACTTAATAATAATTTATTGAATAATAATGGTAACTTGTACTGAGTGTTTGCTGTATGCCAGGCAAATTTGTAATACTTTATATTTTACTAATTTAATCCTCACAACAACTCAAGTGGGCAGGTACTTCCCATTTTACAGATGGAGAAATATAACATTAGTTAGTTAAGTAATTTACCAAAGATCACAGAGATAGTAAAGGTCAAATATGAGGGGCCAGCAGATGGCGTAGCAGTTATGTTGCTGGACTTCCACATGGCTGACTATAGTTCAAGTCCCAGACCTGGTGATTTGAAACTTATTCTGGGCTCGTTTGCATGTAAGCCCAAGATCCCAAGAGGAGAACGGATTGCAGCATAGCCATCCCCCCCAGGGGTGATTTCTCACTTTCCCTCTTACTGTCTCTGTTTCTCTGATGAGCACATGTATCCTACAGCAAAAACCTATTTTTTAAAAAAGGATGTGATTCAAATTTAGGCATTCTGGTTCCAGAACTCTTATTTATTTATTTGTTGATTGCCATAGAGCACACATGCTTGCTGGAGAGATACAGAGAGAGGGATAGTAAAAAATCATCTCTTGGGGCAGTGGTCATACTGCAGTCTTTTCTCCTCCATTGTCTTCTTGGGACTATGGATATACATGCACATGTACCTGACATGATTTTCAAGCTATGGGATCTGGGGCTCAAACCACAGTTGGCCATGTAGAAGTCCAACTCTTTAACCACCATGCCACCTGCTGGCCTCTAGAACTCACTTTTTTTAAAAAAGAATTAATCAATTTATTTATTTATTTATTATTATTATTATTTAATTTTGCTACAGGGTTCATGCATTCACCAGAGAGAGGGAAAGTAAGAAAGCAAGCCACCAGGTCCAGGACTTGAACTACGATTGGCCATGTGGGATTCTAGCTCCTTAACCACTGCACACCTGCTGGCCTCAGAACTCACATTCTTAACTACTACACTACACTGCCTCTGTATGCATATTTACGACATGTCCTGTACTATACTAAAGAACTACAAAGAAAGTACATGGAAGTAATAATGTGAAAAACAATGCTCGTGGAGGCAAGAGGGTATTCTCAGTAAGTGATGTAGTCATCTCTGCTGTCTTGTTCTACCTTTGTTCCTGGGTGGCCTTGGATATTTATCTTTCTGTGCTTCATTTTTTTTTAATCAAACAATGAAGGACAATATTAATATTATTAGTTGAGATCATTATAAAAACTAAATAATATAACTTATGAAAAGTACATAGTATAAAGTTTGGTAATAATGTTAGCTTAGAGAGAAAATAAAAAAGAAGCAGCAGCTGCTCTGACCATAGTCCCATGCTATGGTTTTTATTTGCGAAGTATTTTAAACTTCTATACCTTTGGCTTCTCAGTCATCTTCTGCAGTGCAGTAATAATACCAGAGTTATCTGTCCACTTAATAAATGAGGAAACTGAGGTATACCAAAGTGTAAAATAATGTATAATGATAGGTCAGCAGGTGGCGTGGTGGTTAAGGCACTGAACTCCCACAGGGCAGACTGCGGATGGAGTCCCAGAACTGGTAGCTTGCTTTCTCATTTTCTCTCTCTATCTGGTAAGAGTGTGTGCCCTATAGCAAATTAAAAAAAAAAAAAAAATGGTGGCCAGAGGGTGGCGTGGTGGTTGATGTGCTATACTCCCACGTGGGGGACTGTGATTCAAGTTCTGGACCTGGCAGCTTGTTTTCTCACTTTCCCTCTCTTTCTGTGTCTCTCTCTGGTGACTGCACATGCCCTATAGCAAATTAGAGGGAAAAAAAATTTGTTTAATTAAATAAATAATTATTTAAAAATAATAATTTATAATGTTGGACAGCAGTAGCATTAGAATCAGCATCCCAGTCTCTGGACTTTTAGACAAGACCTCCCTCCCTTTTTCCCTTAAACCATAATGGCCACTATGAGAAACATAAACACAAACTTAATGCCAAGGTTTTCTTCAGTTTTATGACTCCTTTTACACATTATGAGTCCTGCATTGTCCCTATTAACAATGATGGCAATGACAAGGAATGAAGAACTCATTCAGAATATGTTGATTAAGGGGAAATCAGAGAGCCAAAAGTCTAACAAACCCTGAGGGAGAAATTAGTCACTTTCTGAAGTTGTGATATGCTTAGACCAGAAGCCCTAGAGAGAGACCTGTGCAGTCAGCATGGTGCTGGGCTGTTACAGATGGGTGATGTGTGTGTCTTGCAGCATGCTGTGGTAAAGATTGTGAGAGAGAAATATTTAAAGACGACATCATTTGAAAGCCAAGAAGAACTGCAGACATTTATCAGTGAGCTCTATGTGTTCTTGGTAGACCAGATGCACATGGCCCTAAACCAGGTAGGTACTAAGAACTGAGAGTGTTTCTTTTCTTTGTAAAGAATCATGGTCTCCTCTGAATGGATTCTTTTTATCCTTGTTTCCTTTCTTTATTTAACAAATATTTATGGGGACTGGCGGGTGCTGTGATGGTTGCGGCACTCCCATATGGTTGACCACGGTTCAAGTCCCAGTCCTATGGCTTGGCATTAACTAGTGATCAGAAGTTCTCTTTGGGCCATCTCAAATCTGGCTTTACTCTCCACATTCCTTAGCAACTGTACTTGTTAATGTCATTGATACAATTTTTACTTTTAATTAAAGCATTTTTGGGCAGTCTTCCTTGGACCATAGCTTCTGACCCAGGATATTACACCAGACCTGCCTCCCAATCTGGGTGTTTAGGATATAATCTTTCCTGTTTTCTTCCTGCCTTTCTGGCTGTCTCAAAAGTTTCCTTCATGGGGGCTGGCAGGTGGCATGGTGGTTAAGGGTGCTGGACTCCCACATGGCTGATGGCAGTTCAAGTCCCAGACCTGGCAGCTCACTTTCTCACTGTCCTTCTCTCTTTCTCTGTCCTTCTCTGGTTAAAATAAATAAATAAACAAAGTTAAATAAAACTTTTTAAAAAAAGTTCCCTTTATGGGATCCATTAGTCTATATATCTCACTAAAAGTATAGACCTGTGTTTCAATTTTTACCATTAGTCTTCTTTCCTGTTTTTCTATGTTTAAAGACCTCAGGTAATGCTTTCCCGCCTTTTTCATGTCAATGATGCCTAAAAAATTAGCATGTGTGCCTTATACACTAACGAAAATGAAAGAAGGTGTTTAAAGTGACCTGCAAAAGGACTCTGATGGCCCTGAGAGTTAGGGAGAGTTGTTTCCACACTAAGCACTTTTGACTTACCTTTGTGAGCTCAGACTTTTTTTTTTTTATGAGCTTTTTGCTGGAGAGAGAGACAGAGACAGAGACAGAGAGAAAGTGAGAAATCACCCTCCTGGAGGGGTGGCCTGGCCACAATCCCTTCCTCTCCATTCTCCTCCTGAGATCTTGGGCATGCATGCACACGTGCCACAGGGTCCGAGATTTGAACCACGGTCAGCCTTGTGGGAGTCCAGCAATGTAACCATTGTGCCTTCTGCTGGCCCTGAGCTCAGACATTTGATACTTGGATAGCTGAGCTTCTCTTTCATTCTTGATATTTCTCTCTTGGTTCATTTTCATTCTCTTACTGTATTGAAAAGACTGCAAGAAACGTTAATGTCATTTTAGATGTCATGACTTGGTCCCACATCAATTTATTCTTATAAAACCTCTCTATTTATAAATGTTTCATTTTGTCTGCCTAACATCTTGATGTTGACCAGACCATGCCAGATGATGTCCAAAGCACTGTTTCAACCATTTATACAAGCAATGATCAGCTTCGACTCTTTGCGTATGAAGCCGAAGTCAATGAGAACTTTGAGATGGCAGCAGTATATTATAAAGAGGTAATGAAACATCTTCCCAGTGATTGTTGTTACTATTTATGAAATATGGATAAACAAGTAGTCATTCTTAATTACTTAAAATAAAATTAGTGAAAGGGTAGAACACATATCAGTAAAACACAGAATACAAACATAGGTCCACAGAAATAAGATAATTTGGTTTTTAACAAAGGCATAAAATAAATTCAATGGAGAAAGGACAGGTTTTTCTTTTTGGGTTTTTACCTTAGGGTCAGTGTGCTGGCAGGGATGAGAGGGTGGAGGGAAGGGGAAAGAGACAGAGACAATGAGAGGGAAAGTAAGAAATTACTACAGATCTAAAAATAAAACATTAAACCAAAACTTTTAGAACAAACATAGGAGAAAATTTTCTTGACTTAGAATTAGGTGAAGAGTTCTTGAGCATGACACGAAAACATAATATTGGGTCATAATAGTTTAAAAAAAGTGACAAAATGTTCATTAAAATGACCTTTTGCTCAATTAAAGACATAAGAGAAATAAAATTATAGATTAGGTGAAAATGTTTGAGAAAAAAACATCTGACAAAGGACAAGTTCTCAAACTCAGTATTTGTGTAAAGCATTTGTTTGAGTATCAATTTTTAATAATATGGGGTATATACCTGAGAATGAAATTGCTGGGGCTAGTAGGTGGCACAGTGGTTAAGGTGCTGGACTTTCACAGGGCTGATCACAATTCGAGTCCTAGAACTAGTGGCTTGCTTTCTCACTTCCTCTCTGACTCTCTGGTGAGCACACGTGCCCTATAGCAAAAATTTAAAAATAAATAAATAAATGAAATAAAATAAATAAAAGATATTTAAAAATAATGAAATTTCTGGGACATATGGTAATTTTATATTTTGCTTTGTAAAGATTTTGAAGATTTCAGGAACCAGCAGTTAGCATAATGGCTATGTCACTGGACTCCCATGTAGTTGACAGTGGTTCGAGTCCCGGGCCCGGTGGCTTAAACTCATGCCGGGCGCGTGTGTGTGCATGTCCAAGATCCCGAGAGGAGAATGGAGAAGAAGGGATTATGGTGTGGCCATCCTCATTGTGTGGGGGGGTGATTTCTCGCTTTCTGTCTCTCTGTCTCTCTCTGTCTTTCTGGCGAGTGCACTCTCCAAAAAAAAAGGAAAAAAAAAGATTTTGAAGATTTCCATCAAGTTTTTTTTTATATCTTCTTTTTAAAAATTATTTAATTCAATTTATTGTTATTATTAATATTGTTATTATAATTTTCATTTGACCAGAGAGAGAGAAAGAGAAAGGGAGAAAGTCAGCCGCTAGGTCCAGGACTTGAGCCACAGTCAACCATGTGGGAGTCCAGCAGTGTAACCATTATGCCATCTGCTTGTTTCTCAAAGTTTTTTGTTTTTTTTTTTAAGTTTGCTCTAGGGCATGTCCACTAGCTAGAGACAGAGTGAGAAAGAGAGAGGGAAAGTGAGAAAGCACCCCACAGTGGTCATGCCGCTGTCCCGCTGTCCCTTCTCCTCCATTCACCTCAGGATTTTGGCCACACATGCATATGCACCCAATGGGATTTTCAAACATTTGAGTGCAGGACTCAAACCACTCTGCTGGCCATGTGGAATCCAGCAGCCTTAAACTCTTGCCACCTGCTGGCCTCCATTTTTAGAGTTTTATTTATTAAAAGAGGAGAGAGAGAGAGATAAGGCCTCATCGTATTGCAGTCCTCCCTCTAGTCTCCCAGCCAGTCAGGGTCACAGGTGTGCGTGGGTGTGCCTGGCATGTTCAAGTCAACCAAGGGTCTGAACCTAGGCC